TGACCAAAACTGGATGCAGTATTCCAAGTGTGGCCTTACCAAGACATTGTAGAGCGGTATAAATACTTCACGTGATCTTGATTCTATCCCTCTGTTTTAATACAGTCTAGCACTGTGTTGGCTTTTTTGGCAGCTGCAGCACATTCTGGCTCATATTTAAATAATTGTCCACTAGGACTCCGAGATCCCTCTCACAGTTACTACTATATGGAGCAAGGTACCACCTATTCTATACCTGTACATTTGGTTTTTTTGCCTAAATGTAGAATCTCACTTTTTTACCATTGAATTTCATTTTGTTAGATAGCGCCCAGTGTTCAAGTCTGTCCAGATCCTCCTGTATCTTAAGCCTGTCATCTGGAGTGTTGGCTATTCCTGCCAACTTGGTGTCGTCTGCAAATTTGACTAGTTCCCCATCTATCCCCTCGTCCAAATCATTGATGAAGATGTTGAAGAGCACTGGGTCCAGAACAGAGGCCTTGGGCATCCCACTACATACTTCCCTCCATGTATATGCGGTTCCATTAAGGACCACACGCTGAGTATGGCCGGTCAGCCAGCTACGAATCCATCTGGTGGTGATGCGGTCTAACCTACATTTTTCTATCTTATCAAGTAGTAGGTTGTGATCTACTTTGTCAAATGTCTTACTGAAGTCCAAGTAAATTATATCCACAGCATTCCTCTGATCCATTAATTTTGTCACTTGGTCAAAGAATGCAATAAGATTTATCTGGCATGATCTGTTTTTGACAAACCCATGTTGGCTTTTAGTAATGATTTGTTTGCCTCTAGGTCAGCGGTTCTCAACCTGTGGGTCGTGACCCCATTTGGGGTCGAACGACCATTTCACAGGGGTCGCCAAACAAAGCAGTCCGCTTTTTTCCCCTTTTCCTTAGCTGTGCTACTCCCTCTTATTCTATTGGTGTTCGAAAGCCAATAGAATAGACTCTCTTGAATAGAGTCTAATTATATTGGCTTTCAAAAGCCAATAGGAATTGTCCAGGCTGTCTCTGCCCTGCTGAGCCCACCAAAAGTCCCAGTCTGCAAACGGTGCTGCAAGTTGTCTGCAGCTAAGGTGAGCTTTCTGGATGTTTCCACCCCTCCCTGCTGAGCAACTACTAAATGAAGTAAAAGAGAGCCAGGGGTGGGAGGTGGGAGGCCGACGGGCGCAGGGAGGGTTGCTGGCGCACGTGGGGCCTGGCAGGTGGCTTATCTCCCTTGGGCTGGGCCATCTGGTGGCCCAGCCGGTGGTCAGCCTGCGCCCTCGCTGCCATGTACCATGGCCGCCCAGGAGTGCCTGGGCCTGCCTGCCGCCGCACCAAATGTGCGGTGGCCAAGGTAAAGCTACCAGGGCAGCGGCAGGCACAGGGAGGGTTGCTGCCACGCGTGGGGCCCGGTGGGTGCCTTACCTCCCTTGGGGGCTGGGCCACCTGGTGGCCCAGCCAGTGGTCGGCCTGCACCGTCGCTGCCACTTGCCAGCTATGCCTCAGCCGGTGCAGGGGGCAGCACCATGCATGCGTGGCGCTCCCAGGCCGAGGCGGTTGCTGGGCAATGGCCCACGTGCAGCCACAGGAGAGGAGGCGGAGCGTGCGTGCCTCCTCCTGCCCTGCCCATAGGGAAATACAGGTAGTCCTCGACTTACGACCACATGGTTGGGGTTGCAGCATTAGGAAGGTTGAGTACCACTGCTCTAGGTGTTCGCTGATTTGTTGTTTGATTATCTTTTCCAAAATCTTCCCAGGTATTGAGGTCAGGCTGATAGGTCTGTAATTTCCTGGGTCCATTTTTTTTCCTTTTTTGAAGATGAGAACTACATCAGCTCTTTTCCAGTCCTCCGGTAGTTCCCCAGTGCTCCAGGATCTTTGAAAAATATAGTTCAGTGGTTCTGAGATCACATCTGCCAGTTCCTTGAGAACCTTGGGATGTAATTCATCTGGTCCTGGTGATTTGAACTCGTCTAAGCTGGACAGGTGCTCACCATTTTCTTGCCTATCTTAACTTGTGTTTCTATTCTCTTTTTTATGACACTATTTTTGATAGGTTGGTGTTTTTTCACTTTGTGTAAAGACAGATGCGAAAAACGAGTTAAATAGTTCTGCTTTCTCCCTATTGCTTGTCACCTTGCAACTTTCACCCACTAATGGACCAATCATTTCCTTTACTTTTTTCTTGTTTTTTTTACATGTTGAAAGAAGCTTTTTTTGTTATTTTTGACTTTGGTCGCAAGCCTTAGTTCATTTTGAGCCTTAGCTTTCCTCACTTCATCTTTGCAGGCTCAGGCTATTTGCTGATATTCTGATTTAGTTTGAGTATTGGGCCAAGAAAATGCAGCTCAGTGGTGAATAAAATAAGGTCCTACACCTAGGTAGGAAAAATAAAAAGAACAGAAATAGAATATGTAATATATGGCTCAACAGACGAATCTAGGTGTTCTAGTGGACAAGTAGGAGCAGGGAATCTGCTGCAGCTGCCCCTCTCCCAAAAGCCAATGTAGTCATAGGTGGCATCAACAGAGGTATAGTGTCAAGACAACAAGAAGTGATAGTACCACTTTACACCACGCTGGTGAGTCTACACTTAGAATACTGTACCCTGTTCTGGTCCCATGATTCAACACATGTTGAGGCCCTGGAAAATGTGCAGAGAAGAAGAAAGATCATAAATGGTCTGGACGCTAAATGACAATCAGTTCAGAGAGCTAGCTTTGTCTAGGCCTCTAGGCCATGGAAGAGAAGGATTCAGGGGGGGCATGATGGCTGTCTTCCACTACTTGAGGAGTCACGAAGAAGACATCAACTTATTCTCTAGGGCAACAGAAGGCAGAACAAGAGGTTCATGGGTGGAAGGTTGTCAAAGGAAGATCCAATCTAGAAGGAGAAATTATCTGTCAGTAAGTGCAATTGATCAATGGAATAGCTGGCCTTCTGGCATTGTGGATGTTCCATCATTGGAGGTTTTCCAGAATAGACCGGACAATCATTTGACTGGGGTTATATAAGGCTCCTGCCTTGAGCAGCGGGTTGGATTAGACCATTGAGGTGTTTTCCAACCCTATGAGGCTATGATTCTAGATTTAGAGGCAGCTTAGAAAATTGGTACAGAGCAGCCACATGAAATTGATTCTGGTAAGGGGCCTTTTTAAAGAAAAAATATTAGGCAAATTAAGATAGAATACAAACTCAAAAGAAAAAAGAAAAAATTGCAACAACAAAACAAGGATGGGCAAAACATTAAAAGAAATGTGCATTAAAAAAGACAAAAGAAAAAACAGATTTACATATAGTAAATCAGTTGAATGTTGATAAATATATTGTAACAATATTAGTTTCCTACCCTTACAAAGCAGGCCCAAAATTTGTGAATTTCTACCTCAAGTTGGAATCAATTTGACCTTAATCTACTGTGTGTAAAGGCAAAGTGCTGAAAAGATGAACCAACAGTAAAGTTAAAGATCAAAGCCCTCTCTTAACCATCTATTGTTGTATTTAACTACAATGGCTTGTTATTTACGGTAAGTCATCAAAATCATTGTCTCCGATCCATCCAGGATCAAATATCCTGAGAAGTTCTTAAAAATAAATAAACCTCAGAGGAAAAACAGCAACACATGACATATTATACCATGTCATCATTTTCGTTTAAAAGAAAATCATTTTTTTTAAGGTTTTCCAAGGAATGCCTACAAGTAAAGAGAGAAACAATATTTGGAGCAATGAACAAATATTTAAATTCTGCAGATGAATGATCCTGAATTTAGAAGAAACCAAAGAATTGTACATTTGTTCATTTCACTAACACTATTCAGAGGACTGGTTACAATTTTTTTTCTAGTGGATCACATTTTAGGTAGGTGGGCAGGCTGTCTGGGGGGGGGACATAAATTACATAAATGCCATAAATTACAGCATGCTACACAGGAAATTCTTTGTATGTCATCTTTAAGTCCTGAATGAAAAGGGAATCAATAAAATATACCTTGCGGTTCTTTTATTCCAGATTCCTCCATGCAACAGAGCTCAGATCCAATAGCTGAAATGGCCACTATCCCCATCCAAAACCTAAGAGATGTACATTAAAAACGGCAGTGCAGGGTGTCCCTCTAAAAAGGTTAGCCTGGTGATCAGTCTGCTGTGTGCTTTTCTGGGATATTCTATTCTTCCCTTTTGTTTTCTTTTTAAAAATGTATTTTAGATATATTTCTTCTACCATATATTCACAATCATCCCCTCTTTCTTACCCCCCATTTTCGAGGCCCTGCTGCATATTTTTCTCTCTGTGACCTAATGGAGACTTCTGTGTAAGCAAATTGACAGAAGTACATGGCATTTGGCATTTAGCAGACACAGGTTGTCCTTCAGGAATGGTATGCTGGGTGCTCTTGGATGCAGCCCTGGCCAGCAGGAGGGAAGTTGGTTCCCCTGGAGCATCTGGCCTGATGTTCCTGCTATGTCCTAAAATCTTGGGAGCCACATTAAATAAGTCATAAAGATTTCAGATGTAGAGAGCTTTTGATCTCCCCTGAGAGTCACCCCTAGGAAAGTTGATTGTATAATTGTGTAAAACCCTCATGAATATTTGGGGCTCAGAACATCGCTAATCTTCTAATGCAGTGTTTCCCAAACTTGACAATTTTAAGGCCACGTGCCTTAAAATTGTCAAGTTTGGGAAACACTGTTCCAATGGAACTAATCTAACTAGCATCACATTTCACTAGGCTCTGTTGCAAAGCTCGGTTGCTAGAAGTCAGAAACGACTTGATAGCTTTTAATTAGGGGGGAAATCCTGCAAACGCCTTAGACAGATGAGACGGGCGTGTTTTTCCACCTCCTATCCACGGTAAAACGAGCGACATCTGTGCTTAGCAAGTGGACAACACAGAATGCGGCATCTGTGTTTGAGTTTAAAGTTAAGTTTTTAACATCTTTAAAGATGTTAAAACCATCGAGAACTATATTGCTAGAAAGGAGGGGAGGAGAGAGGAAGCGCCAAGGAACTTCCTCTTCCTGATCACTAATCGGAGGAAGATGGTGTGTAGGGAGGATTTTGTGCTCTTCCCAGATTGAAGCAGCAGCTGGAAGGTGAGTGGAGGGCAGGTCGGAGGAGAAGCCGGGAGCAAGCGGGGCTGTTTGGTTTCCTCCACTGAGTCTAAGCAGAGAAGCAACTAGTCTGAAGCATCTCAGGTGCTGCTGCTGCCAATCCCTTCCCTCCCCAACTTTTAAGTCCACTGGTGCTGCAGGCTGTTAAACTGGGGGCTGCGATTTTCTGCTGATGAGAAGATTTCAAAAGTCTCCTTCAAGTGAAGGTTGATTCTTTGGGAATGGCTTCCCTTCAGACGTTGTGAGTGCTGCGTCACTGGAGGCTTTTAAGAGGAGACCGGACAGCCATTTGTCAGGAATAGTAATAGGGTCTCCTGCCTGAGCAGGGGGTTGGACTAGAAGACCTCCAAGGTCCCTTCCAACTCTTGTTATTCTTTTTTTTTTTTTTACAATTTTTTAAAACTAATTTTCTATTATCACTATTTATTATTTGATTAGTGCTCAATAAACATTGTATTGTCGGGTCCAATTTATTTGCTTAATAATACAAGTTACATTCTTAGAATCTACCCCTTTTCTCCAACCATTAATAATAATAATAGTAATACTAGTAATAATATTAATATTATTATTAATCATAATAGTTGGAAGGGACCTTGGAGGTCATCGAGTCCAACCCCAGCTCAGGCAGGAAACCCTACACCATTTTGGACAAATGGCTGTCCAGTCTTTTCTTAAAAACTTCCAGTGTTGGAGCATTCACCACTTCTGGAGGCAGGTAGTTCCATTGGTTAATTGTTCTAACTGTCAGGAAGTTTCTCCTTAGTTCTAGGTTGCTTCTCTGCTTGATTAGTTTCCATCCGTTGCTTCTTGTCCTGCCCTCAGGTGCTTTGGAGAATAGTTTGACTCCCTCTTCTTTCTGGCAGCCCCTGAGATATTGATGAAATAAATTCCATATTTGAAAATATTCTGTATTTCTCTTTGATCCTCAATATAAGTCTCTCCATTTCAGCACAGTCCAATATCTTCTTGATTATCGCTTTGTCTAGTGGTGTTTCTTCATTCTTCCAGTGCTGAGCAAATACAATCCCTGCTGCTGTTAATACATGCAATGTTAAATATACACTGCTTATTACATTTTTCTGATACTATACCCAGGGCTTTTTTCTCATAGAACGCCCAGGACGGAGTTCTGGCACCTTTTTTGGATAGAACCTTATAGAGTAGGCAAGGCGGATTGTATGACGTGTGTGAGTTCCGGCACTTTTTTTTTTTTTTTTTTAGAAAAAAAGCACTGATTATACCTAATAAAAAGAGTGCAGGTTTAAAATCTACATGTTTCCCTAACATCTTTTCTAACCAAGTGTGTCTTTTGGCCCATTTTTTTTTCTTTAACACAAGGCCACCACACATGGTAATATAGGCCAGGTGTTTGATTACATTTCCAACATTTACTGCACATATTTTTAAACATTTTTGCTAATCTCGCAGGTGGTAAATGCCATCTATAGAACATTTTATATCAGTTTTCTTTATAAGAAGTTGCCACGGTCACTTTACAATTTCTTTCCCAAAGATTTTGCCATTTCTCTAATTCTATATTATATCCAAAGTTTTTTTCCCCACTGTATCATTGTTTCTTTCACTTGTTCATCCCCATTTTTGAATTTAATAGAAAGTTATATAGTTTCTTAATCAGTTCTTTATCAGAAGTTAACAATATCTGATCAAACATTGTCCTTTATAAAAACCATACATTTTCGCATCTTTATCATAGCTCGATTGCATTTGCAACTGAGGCCACCATGATTATTCAGTTTGCTTAGATGTAATGTTTTTAGCTATAACTCCATTAACTCGATTCCTTTAATTTCTGGGTCTTGTCTGATGTTCCTTTTCAAAACTTCCAATGTCAATATAAATAGCAATGGGGATAATGGATATCCTTGTCTTGTGCCTTTCTTTATGTTAAAATTCTCTCTTAGTCCCCATTTACAATTACTATTTTACTGTTTGTTTATGATATATTGTCTTAATTACATTTATAAACTTTTTTCCAAAATCCATGCAGTTTAATTGTTGTGTCATAAATTGCCAGCTTACATTATCAAAGGCTTTTTGAACATCTAAAAAAATTAGTGCCATGTGTTTTCCTGAATGCATTTCATAGTATTCTAATATTGTATCTAAAATAATCCTTAAGTTGTGTTTTTATTGTCTTTTTGGTAAAAATCCATTTTGATCTGGATGAATAAATTCAATCAAAAATCTTTTCAATCTCTCTGCTATTATTGAAGCAAAAATTTTGTAATTCACATTCAATAGTGATATCGGTCTATAATATTTTTATCTGTAATAAATCTGAGTCCTCTTTTGGTATTAAGGTAATATTTACTTCCATCAATGTATTTGGTAATTTAGCCTCTAATAGTATGTCATTACAAGCTTCCTTCATTGGAGAGCTTAATATATCTCGAAAGCATTTATAGAACTCTGCAGGTAGCCCATCCCTATCCTGGAGTTTTATCATTTTTATTGTCTATCGTTTTTCATAATATTCTTTAACTACTTTCTCATTGCCTCATTTTGGAGTTACACATCTCCCTTCTCATATGGCAATTTGTTTATCAACTTTTTCTCCCTTTTTCAATTTATAAGCCAGCCATCTTCCCGGTTTATTTGCATTTTCAAAAAAAAAATTCTTTTGCTCTTTTCATTTGTTGAGCAAATTCTTCTGACTCTATTAGGTTTAGTTTATGTTTAATTATCTCCATTTGTCTTTTAAGAGATTTTTTCTGGATCTTTTTGAAGTTCTAGCTCCAATTTTTTAAACTCTTCCCTTAGCGTTGTATACTATGGCTTTTTCTTGTTATTTTTTTCAGCCGTATAAGTTATAGCTCAGCGGTTCTCAACCTTTGGGTCGCGACCCTTTTGGGGGTCGCACGACCCTTTCACAGGGGTTGCCTAAGACCATCGGAAGAAACATATTTCCGATGGTCTTAGGCAGGGCTTGTCAAACGCCTTCTCTCCATCCCCCTCTTCTGATCCACCTCACTTGTTTCTGGAAAATATGCTGCTTGGTGGCAGTCTGCACGAACTCTACCAAATGTGCCCTGCAGGGGGTGCATGAAGAGCGCAGGCGCAGAGTAAGGCCCCTCCCTCATTGTGCAGCAACCGAATTTTCTCATGCTCGCAGGTCAGTGAAGCGGAAGCCCCGCAGCACCCAACTCTTGTGCCCGTCAGCTGGCAACCCCTGAACTTGCGCTTGGCAGCCGGGAGGTCTGGTGACAGCTGCAGGTCTCCTTTGCCACCCCGCCCGTCCTCGTCTCCTGCCTGTTCATGTTGAGCCCGCCCGGGCTTGACAGGGAGAGAGGGAGGGAAGGAGGAAGGGACTGCTCTTCCTCTCCTAAGCTTTGATTGGCTTCCCAAGGGCACCACAATCCTCATGAAAGCGGCGGGGGGGGGGAGAAGCAAAGGAGGCGAGAAAGCTCGTGGCAGGCTCGAAGCAGCACCTGTCAGCATTGGTGATGAGAAATTCCCCACAAAACCAGGGAAGGGGTGGAGAAAAGGAGCCCCCTTTGGGAGGAAACTGCATCCTTCTTCTCCTTGGCTTTATGCTCTTCTGTTTCTCGGCAGCTGGGCTGGCAAGCCTCTCCTGGCTGGAACTTCCTTTCCTTCCCTCCCTCTTGGTCTCTTCCTCCTTCCCTCCCTCTTCCATTGTCCCTTCCTTCCTTTCCTTCGCCTCCCTCTTTGTCCCTCCTTTCCTCCCTCTTTCCCCTTGTCCCTTCAATCCATCCTTCCTTCCCTCTTGTCTAGGATTGGGGCGAGCCTTTACAGCTGATCCACGCTTCTGCAGCTGTAGCTACTCTCCTTGGCTCCTGCCCTGCAAACTTGCTTGAGTTTTGATAGAAAACAAGCCATTTGCTAATTTAGCAGAAGCGCAAATCAGCTGTAGCCTGGCGCTGATCCTTCGTCTTTCCGCGAAGCTGAGCAAGTGAGCTGGGCGGAGCTTTCCTGTCTCTGCCTGTGCACAGGCAGGTTTGCCGGCAGCAAAGCCCCCAGCCACGCTGGCAGCCTATCCCCCTCCCCTTGTCCCTTCCTGGGCACGGGGGGGGGAGAGGAAGGAAGGAACGAAGAGGCAAGGAAGTAAGGAATAATGAGAGAGGGAAGGAAGGAAGGAACAATGGAAGGGAGGGCGGGACAAAGAGGAAAGGAAGGAAGGAAGGAAGGAAGGAAGGAAGGAAGGAAGGAAGGAAGGGACGAGAGAGAGAGAGGGAGAGAAGGAGGAAGAGACTAAGAGGGAGGGGAAGGAAAAGAAGCAAGGAAGGGACAATGGGAGAGAGGGAGGGAAGGAGGAAGAGACTAAGGGAAGGGAAGGGAAGGAAGGAAGGAAGGAAGGGACAATGGGAGAGGAAGGAGGAAGAGACTAAGCAGGAAGTGAAGGGAAGGAAGGAAGGAAGGAAGGGACAATGTGAGAGAGGGATGGAAGGAGGAAGAGACTAAGGGAGGTGAAGGAAAGGAAGAAAAGAAGGAAGAGACAAGGGGAGGGAAGGATGGCAGGCACCCACCCCAGTCCCATCCCAGAGACCCACAGATTCCCCCCCACGGGCACTCTGCAACCTGAGTGATCAGCTGGCCATGCCCCCTGGCCATTGATCACCTGACCCTGGGACACTGTGAATGTCATAAGTATGAATCAGTTGTCAAGCATCCGAATGTAAATCACATGACCCTGGAGATGCTGCAACAATCGTAGGTGTGAAAAATGATCATTAATTTGCTTTTCCAGTGCTGTTGTAACTTCTAACAGTCACTAAGCGAATTGTTGTAAGTCGAGGACTACCTATACTTTCCCGTTTTTTTCCTTTTTGGGGGGGGGGGTCAAGTTTTTGATACCCTTCCGGCCAGCTGGATGGGGGGTTGGGGGTCACCACAACATGAAGAACTGTATTAAAGGGTCGCGGCATTAGGAAGGTTGAGAACCACTGTTATAGCTAATCCTCTGAAGTATGCTTTGGCTGTATCCCATATGTACTGGAGTGAAGTGTCTTCTTTTTTATTTTCTTTGAAAAAGAATTCCATTTCCTTTATTGCTATTTCTGAAATTCTTTCTCTTTTAATAAGAGTTGATTCCATGTCCACCTTGATTTCTTCTTTACTCCTGTCCAACTCAGCTTTATTGGATTATGGTCAGCCCAAATATTGGGTTCTATCTCAACGTCATGTATATTAGTTCTTAATTTGGGGGACATCCATATCATATCAATTCTAGACCATGATTTGTGTCTATTTGAATAAAATGTATACTGAGTCTTTTTGGGGTTCATTTCTCTCCAAGCATTCTATACGCAGAATTCTTCTGCCATTTTAACAAAACCTTTAGGTAATCGCTTTCTTCCTTTTTTCCCTATTTTACTACTTTGTAATCTAATTTTTCATTCACAGTTGCGTTAAAGCCTCCTACTAAACAACTATTTTGATATGGAATATCAAAATAGAATATCAAAATAGTGTTTATTCTTTGGTGCTTATATTGCTACTATCAATATCTTTTTTAATCCATCGTCATTTCCACCATTATAATTCTTCGTTCTTCCTTCAAGGTCCCTTCCAACTCTATTGTTCTGTTATCCATCAGTTAAAGCCGCCACATCTCAAAAATTAGCTCAAAAGCTTTGACTGTAAACTATTTTGGGACATATTTCCAGGCTTGATAGATTTTTTCCATATATACTTTTGTAGGAGCATGTATCTGTATTTCTCTCTGTATGCATATATCTGGAATCATATAATCTATGCCCATCACTTCCAGATGTATTTGATGATAACCCTTTGTATTGCTAAGGATTTGTGATTGACCGAAGTCAACAAGAAATTTTGCCCAAATCAGCAACTGAATTTGATTGAATGGATATTTGAACATGAATGTGGTAGTCTTCCATGTATCAGATGAATAATAAACGATGTAAGAGATTATGCTATCATTGTGGCATGTTTGCTTTTTCATTGTAATGTATACTTTTTCCTTTTTTCACACCTCTCTCCATTTTATAAAAATTAAAGTTACACTTTTCCTTAAATCTTATAGAAAAGAGGATGTGAAGAAGAACCCTCTAGACAGCTAAGAATAACAAGCAACATTGAAAAGGAAAGCAAACGGAGCCAGAAATCAAAATATTTTCCACTTCCTTCAGAAAACCACACAACTTTCCTTCTCCTCCAGCAGCTCTTAGAAAAAAAAGAGAGAAAATCAAGAAAGATTTCAAACTGGAATAAGTAGATTATTCAGAATTCAAGGATACCTTACATGAAAAGTGAAGGAGATTATTTTTCATTCAGTAGAAGAGGGAAATATCTGGAAGTCAGTTGGAGGGAAAGGTGAGTAGGAAAGTCACATAGAGCAGAGAGGCCTCGCCCTGTGAGGAAGAAAACGGATTGAATGAAAGCACCACTAAACAAGGGATTGTCCATATTTTTGACTTCCTCAAGAATATCAGTTGTGGAAAAACTCCGTACTTGTGTCTCTTGTTGGAAAAGCACAGATTGCAAATCACAACTGATTATGCACAAGAGGAGCCACAGAGCAGGAAAGCCATACAAACCATCTGATTCTGGCAAAACCTTTAGTCAGAACAGCTCCCTTGTGGTTCATGGAAGGACCCACACAAGAGAAAAGCCATAAAAGCACTCCTAGTGCAGTAAATGCTTTAGTGAGCATGGCAACGTGGTGATACACCAGAGGATTCCCAGCAGGGAGAAAACCTATGACTGTACTGATTGTGTGAAAGTTTCATTAGAAATTCACATGTCATGAAACACCATAGGACTTGCACAGGAGACAAACACTTTGAATGTCGTGATTGTGGGAAAAGTTTCAATCACAAATTCAGCCTGGTGACACACCATAAGACTCACAAAGGAAAGAAACCCTTTGAATGTCCTGAATGTGGGAAAAGTTTCAGTCACAAGTCCAACCTGGTGACACACCAGAGGACTCATAAAACAGAGAAGCCCTTTCGATGTCCTGATTGTGGGAAACATTTCAGTCACAATTGCAGCCTTGTGAGACACCAGAGGACTCACAAAGCAGAGAAGCCCTTTCAATGTCCTGATTGTGGGAAAAGTTTCAATGAGAATTCCAGCCTTGTGAAACACCAGAGGACTCACACAGGAGAGAAATCCTTTGAATGTCCTGAATGTGGGAAAAGTTTCAGTCAGGATTCCAGCCTTGTGAAACACCAGAGGATTCACACAGGAGAGAAACCCTTTGAATGTCCTGATTGTGGGAAAAGTTTCAGTCACAAATCCAGCCTGGTGACACACCAGAAGACTCACACAGGAGAGAAATATTTTCAATGTCCTATCTGTGGAAAAGTTTTCAGTGGGAATTCTCACCTGGTGACACACCAGAGGACTCACACAGGAGAGAAACCCTTTGAATGTCCTGATTGTGGGAAAGGTTTTAGTGAGAATTCCAGCCTTGTGAAACACCAGAGGACTCACACAGGAGAGAAACCCTTTGAATGTCCTATCTGTGGGAAAAGTTTCACTATCAATTCCAACCTGGTGATACACCAGAGGACTCACACAGGAGAGAAACCCTTTGAATGTCCTGAATGTGGGAAAAGTTTCAGTCACAAGTCCAACCTTGTGATACACCAGAGGACTCACACAGCAGAGAAACTTTTTGAATGTCCTGATTGTGGGAAAAGTTTCAATCACAAATTCAGCCTGGTGACACACCAGAGGACTCACAAAACAGAGAAGCCCTTTCAGTGTCCTGATTGTGGGAAACGTTTCAGTCACAATTGCAGCCTTGTGAGACACCAGAGGACTCACAAACCAGATAAGCCCTTTCAATGTCCTGATTGTGGGAAAAGTTTCAATGAGAATTCCAGACTTGTGAAACACCAGAGGACTCACACAGGAGAGAAACCCTTTGAATGTCCTGAATGTGGGAAAAGTTTCAGTCAGAATTCCAGCCTTGTGAAACACCAGAGGATTCACACAGGAAAGAAACCCTTTGAATGTCCTGATTGTGGAAAAAGTTTCAATCACAAATCCAGCCTGGTGACACACCAGAGGACTCACACAGGAGAGAAAAATTTTGAATGTCCTATCTGTGGGAAAGGTTTTAGTGGGAATTCTCGCCTGGTGATACACCAGAGGACTCACACAGGAGAGAAACCCTTTGAATGTCCTGATTGTGGAAAACGTTTCAGTGACAATTCCAGTCTTGTGACACACCAGAGGATTCACACAGAAGAGAAACCTTTTGAATGTCCTATCTGTGGTAAAAGTTTTAATCACAAATCCAGTCTGGTGACACACCAGAGGAGTCACACAGGAGAGAAACCCTTTGAATGTCCTGAATGTGGGAAAGGTTTCAGTCACAAATCCAGCCTTGTGACACACCGGAGGATTCACACAGGGGAGAAACACTTTGAATGTCCTGATTGTCGGAAAAGATTCAGTCAGAAATCCAGCCTTGTGAAACACCAGATGACTCACACAGGGGAGAAACACTTTGAATGTCATGATTGTGGAAAAAGTTTCAGTCAGAAGTGCAACCTGGTGAAACACCAGAGGACTCATGCTGGGAGAAATCTTTCAAATGTCCAGTCTGTGGACGTTTCTTCACTCATAAATCATCCCTTATTGCACACAAGGAAATCCACATGCGGCAAAAGTTGAAGCATTTAGAAAAGGCTTGATATTCCTTTTTGATCTCCCATTGAAAACGTAGTTAAGAAATTGACTATTTGAATTGTGATCTGAATCTGTTTACTCAAACATGTCTCAGGACTAGACTTGTAGGTGGAGAGAAAAGGAAAATGGAAAAGGGCTAACTGCCAATTTCTGCTTAGGAGCAGCAGCTTCTGGATATTTCCTTTTGTTGAAGTTATGGATTTCTTCAAAAAGGCTTCTGGGTGGTAGTTTTGTATATTGATTATATAATTCCCACATGTGGTGTTTCAGGTTTCTACCTTGGTTTCCTCCAGATTTTGAGCCGCAGAATTCCTCAGCTAGCATAGAAAAGGTCCTCAAGATATAACTGTCATGGGCCTTGCAATTATGGCTGCACGTTGCAACAGCTGTTAACTACTCTGATCTTTCTGATGCAGCCATTAATTTTATGTGTCAGTCACTATATAGAACACTGGCTACCTCAGAGTTGGGGAGAACTCTTGGAGGCCTAGTGCAGGCCCAGGTTTGCCTGTTGTAGGCATCTCTAGGCCTCCCCACTAAAATTTACAATAAATCAGCCTGTTTAATATAAACAAGCCTGTGGTTAAGAAGATTCACTAAGCTTTTGTCTGGCCAAAAAACTGCCGGTGTCATCAGAGTTAGAATAGGAGGAAATTAGGAAGGCAGCTCATATAGCCTCCTGCCTCTGCGCCTGGCTCCTTGAGCGCGTCATCGCAGCCGAGTTGTTCTGCATCAGGCAAACCGTCTTTGACTCTACTGGTTGTTTTACGATCCTCAAGTGCTCTTTTTGAGCGTGTGCAAGCGCTCGGAGGGCGGCTGTCAATCCGTTCCTGCTCCCAGTCCCTCCCAGGGCCATTATCCTCCCCCACTGGAAGATGGAAGAACAAGTGAAAGAAACAATGATAATGTGGGCAAAGAATTTTAGTTATTCTATAGGTTTAGAAAATTGGCAAAAACTATGGGACCGAAATATTAAATTTACTAAAGTAGCTGCACATAAGGAAAACTTATATAAAATGTTTTATAGATGGCACATGACACCAGTTAGATTAAAGAAAATGTTTAAAAATGTATCAAACATGTGCTGGAAATGTAAACAACAACCAGGCACTTATTACCATCTCTGGTGGATATGTCCTAATGCTAAAAAGTTTTGGTTTAAGAGCCATGTGTGGCTAGAAGAGATGATTAAAATACAGATAGAATTTAAACCAGAACTCTGTTTGTTAGGAATATTAGGTTTGAATTATGGAAAAAAGAATGAGTATTTAATATTGCATGTGCTGACAGCCACAAGAATAATATTTGCCCAATTTATCATCAGACCAGGCTATAATAACAAAAATATTTGAATGTGCAGAAATGGATAGATTGACTTTAGAAATGAAAGAGAAAAAAAACACAATTTACTTTAAAATGCGGGGAAAATTTTATTATTGGTTAGAAACACACTAGAATGAGAAAAGGTTATGAAATGTAAAGAGATAATTGATAATTTGTATTTATATTCCATGATTATTTCTATGAACTTGTTCTTATTTCTTTTTCTTCTTCTTCCTCTTTGTATATTTGTGATCTTAAATAATATGGTAAACTATAATTAATATGTAATATATTATTATTTTAAAGTGATTATAATTAATTAATACTAAGCATTTTTAAGTAGTGAAATGAATGAGATTTAGTGACTAATTTGTTAGTTATTATATGGAAAGTTGTTTAATAGTAGAGTAATTATTAAGATTTAATATGTAAACCCGGACTGGTAGACTTGCTGAAGCGATGTTATTTTGTGAGATTAATTCCACTTTTGTGTTACCCCTTTCCCCTGGTCTAACCTTTTTGTATGTTTCCCGTTGTCTTATCCTTTTTGACCCTATCCCTTTATTACCTTTATAAAACTCAATAAAAATATTTATTAAAAAATCCCATGTTTTATTAAGTGTTTTTCCTTAAAATCGTACTTCAGCTTACAATGCAATAATTTTAGCACGCTGACGTTCAATTTCCCAACTCGTACTGCAATGTTCAAATAGCACATTTCCCTCTTTTCTTAGGAGAGCAGTATATTATTGTAATCAAACAAAAATTAAATTGAACAGAAGCCACAACCCCTTTTCCTTCCTGCCTCTCCCTCATTCTTTCAAGGCAGAAAGTCCCCAAGCAAAAAGAAAGAAATAGCAACTAGCAATGGAGATAGAAAATGTTGTTGTTGTTGTTAATTGCGAAGTCGTGTCCGACCCATCGCGACCCCATGGACAACGTTCCTCCACGTCTTCCTGTCCTCTACCATCTTCTGGAGTCCATTTAAGTTCACACCTACTGTTTCAGTGATTCCATCCACCCATCTCATTCTCTGTCGTCCCCTTCTTCTATTGCCCTCAATCTTTCCCAGCATTAGGTTCTTCTCCAGTGAATCCTTCCTTCTCATTAGGTGGCCAAAGTACTTGAGTTTCAACTTCAGGATCTGGCCTTCTAAAGAGCAGTCGGGGTTGATCTCTTCTAGGACTGACCGGTTTGAACGCCTTGCAGTCCAAGGGACTCGCAGGAGTCTTCTCCAGCACCATAGTTCAAAGGCCTCAATTCTTTTGCGCTCAGCCTTTCTTATGGTCCAACTTTCACAGCCATACATTGCAACTGGGAAAACCATGGCCTGGACTATACGCACTTTTGTTGGCAGGGTGATGTCTCTGCTTTTTAGTATGCTGTCTAGATTTGCCATAGCTTTCCTTCCCAGGAGCAAGCGTCTAGAAAATGTTGTAAAAATGTTCAAAAGATTATACATAAATTTCCCCCCTAATTCCATTCAGCATTCTTCCAACTAAATAGGTATCTCTTTTCTTGTTCCTTCTCTTAAATAAATTTTCTTCCTTCTCCCTTTCATGAGCTCCTCTCCCACAGCACTGTTCCACAAAACCTTCATTTCATTTTCTCATATCCTCGCAAACACATACTACTGCCTTCCCACTTACTTCAGAACAATCTACAACTTACTGTTCCTTACATAACCTGGGGGGGGGTTACAAAATATAAAAACACAACACTTGTGAATACATGAATGAGCAAGGAATAATAACCTGCTCAATCAGACTAACATGCTTGTGGTTATATTTTTATTTTTTCCCTCACCATGCATTCATCTATCAATTCAATCACTTTATCCAGTATATGTCGCTCCACACACATTCTAGTCATGGGTGAGGGCAGGATCTCTCTGTTCTTTTCTTTTACCTTTTTTAAAAAAATCCCTATTTGCTCTCTCCTTTAAGACAGTCTGGGAACCCAACCATCCAGGGGCAATAGAAGGGAGTTGAACCCTGCCAACACAGGCAGTCCTTATGTATGGAAGAGGTCCATTATCTCTTTGTCAGTAAATCTGACAGTGGCAATAGAGAAATAACATGCTACCTCAGCAAAAAAAACAAAACAAAAAAAACAGTTCTTATCTATGGAAAGGGTAGCAGGCACAAAAATTGATGGCAATCAACAATGGAACATATCATCCCAGCAAACAAACTTACCCTTTATCTACAGGGAAGGTAGCACCAATGTTAGTTACTAACAAACAACACTGTCTGTTCTGATTCAGAACTAAATTGCTTTGTAATTCCAGATTATACAGATAACTCAATAAAGATGATTGTAAAACAGACATTTATTCAGGTATACTTGCAATTATTAATAGTTTCTTGTAGTCTCTTCTGAATATTGTACATCTGTTCATCCTTATAGGTAAGAAATCAATACTTCCTCCATACCAACTTCTAGCGTGGAATGGGACCATCAGAGTCCATGCTTATCTCAGACAAAGAACATTCCAAACTGGCACAAAGCCAGGATATCCTGTGAAGAGCTTTGTAGCTCCCCCTACTGATCTGTTAACATGGTATTTACTGAATAGCTAAAACTACATCACCCAGAAGCCATCTCTTAAGGAGACAGCACTTAACCCAATAAATGCCAAACATTCTAATATACAGCTCTATCTAACTGATGGGTCCAGAACACTCCCCGCTTGGAAATATAAATTTCCACTACTAACTAACTGAAATAAGCAAAAAACATAGCATTAAGCATGCAATTCTCATTGTTAACTAACTAGTGACTAACATAGGTAAAACATAGTATTAAAACATGCATAACTATAAGGCAAATAGAAAACATGCACAATTATAACATAGATAAGTAAGTTGTTACATCAAACAATGCATAAACACAAATACATAGTTTGAGGTTCAATCTTCCAAGCTTTCTTAAGGCCGATGTCTGGGTTACCCAGATGGGATGCGAAGATGTCCTTCACTATGCTTGCAGATTCTGGTCCTAGCCAGGCTGTCAACTGCACAAGCTCTTTGTCTGTCCCAAGCCTTTCATTGTGGATGGTGCACTTGAAGATGTGCTTCCACAATAAGTACTCCCTCCCCAGTTTGTCAGAGTATTTTCACATGCCTCTGGCTGCTAAGTCCAACCTTCTTCCACCGAATGTTGGAGGCTTTACACACAGTAGATAGATGAAGGACAAATTGATTCTAACTAGAGGTAGAAATTCACAGGTTTTGAGCCTGCTTTGCAAGGGTAGGAAACTAATATTGTTACACTGTTTATCTACATTCAACTAATTTACTATATGTAAATCTGTTTTTGTCTTTTGTCTTTTTTAATACACATTTTTTCTTTTTTAATGTTTTGGCTATCCTTGTTTTGTTGTTGTATTTTTTTTCCCTTTGGAGTGTGTATTCTATCTTAATTTCTCATTTTTTTTTAAAAAAAAGGATCATTACCAGAAGCAGTTTTATAGGTTTGCTCCTCAGTTATTTTCTAAGCTGCCTCTAAACTCATAGAATCATAGCATCAGTGGCCTTATAGTCCAACCCGCTGCTCAAGGCAGGTGCCTTGAGTCAAATGACTGTCTGGTCTATTCTGGAAAACCTCCAGTGATGGAGCATCCACAATGCCAGGAGGCCAGCTTTTCCACTGATCAATTGCACTCACTGACAGAAAATTTCTCCTTATTTCTAGATTGGACCTTTCTTTGACAACCTTCCACCCATGAACTTCTTGTTCTGCCTTCTGTTGCCCTAGAGAATAAATCGATCTCCTCTTCTTTGTGACAGTCCCTCAAATAATGGAAGACAGCTATCAGGCCCCCCTAATCCTTCTCTTCCATGGCCAGACATACCTAGTTCTCTCAACCACTTGTCATTTAGTATCCAGATGATTTATCATCTTTCTTCTTCTCTGCATATTTTCCAGGGTCTCAACATCTACTGTATCATGGGACCAAAACAGGGAGCAGTATCCTAAGTGTGGTCTCACCTGCATAGTGTAAAGTGACACTCTGTTCATGCAGACTAGGACTGCATTGGCTTTTTGGGGGAGGGGCAGCTGAAACAGTCCTGTCTTATACTTGTCTGTTGGACATCTAGATTCCTCTCGAGCCAGACTATTTTAGCCTATTACCTATTTTATCCCTATGCTTTTGGTTTTTGCTGCCTAGGTGCAGACATTACTTTCCTCATCATTGAACTATACTTTGTTGGATGGATCCCAATGCTCTATCAGGATCCCTTTGGATCTTGAGCCTATCTATTTATGAAGATGTCGAACTGTAGTGGGCCCAAGACCAAACCTTGAGGTACCCAATTGCATGCTTCTGTCCATGTAGATGTAGTTCTATCGATGAATACCCAGAGTGTGGTTGGTCAGTCAATTGCGAATCCACCTAGGGCTGGTTCTGTCTATCCCATGTTGTTCTATCTTACCAAAAAGTTAACTTGTGCTCTACCTTGTCAAATGTCTTGCTGACGTCCAAGTATACTATCTCCAAAACATTTCACAAATCCACTAATTAAGTTACTTCATAAAAAATGGCAATAATGTTTGTCTGGCATCACATTCCTAACATTCCATTCTGGCTTGTTATAGCTGCCCATCATTTCTGTTTCTCCAGAAGCATTAGTGAAAACAGAAGATTACTTTAATTAAATAACATGTGAAATTCTCAGTCTTTTAAAAGAAGAAATAAAATCGGGGGGGGGGACTAAGCTGGGGAAAAAGAGTATTTTCAAAGGCTCTCACACGAAAATAGTTGGGGAACAGAAAAAGTAAGGTAAGGTCTCACCCAACTCCTCCAGTTGCTTTCATCGTGCTTGGTAGTGCTTTGGGCTTTTGGCTGGTGTGACTTGATGAGCGGCCATGTTAATGGCCGCTTTTTTTTTCTTCAGTCCTGAGGAGCTGCCTCGGATCAAACGGAGAGGCTGTGGCCCCTCCGCGATCTAGCGTAGTTCCTCCCCAACGGTGGTCACCCCTCCAGGGTGACTTTCGACCCTTTACAGGGTCTCCTGAAGAAAGAAAACCAGACAGCGGGGAGAGCAGTCTCTCCACACATCCGCTAACGCTGGGATCTGGAACAGGAAGCCGATTCTTTGATTTTCAAAGGCTACAAACCGACTGGCAAAACAAATGGCTGTATTAGAGGGAAACCATAGCTTAGTTGTCCAGTTTGAAATATCCTAATTTCCCTCTGTCAGACTGGCAGTGATAGAGAAGACAATCGCTGAATCTGAGAAGGATGCCAATCAAAATATATCCAGTTAGCCATTCTAATTTTTAAACTGTCCCTAATGAATTGCTGTATTTTCACAGAATTTAGGACTAAGACAGATAGCAATACAACAATAAATTAAGAAGCAGAAGCCTAACTACAGCTCACGTCATCACAGGCAGAGAGTGGCGGGACTGATGTGTGATTGAAACTGAAATTTTAAATTTATAAATGAGGGAAGGGAAGCTGAGTAAAACAGATTACTTAGAGATGCAGATTGCACAAGATACAGATTACAAGGTAACAATCGTATGTATTAGAAACCCACTCTATCACTGAGCAAGAGTTGGGTAATGAGCTTTACATTATCTTTTTATTATTAAATGCATTCATTATTAAACTTAATCACTGCCCATCTCGCCGTCTGAGGCAACTCTGAGTGACTTCCCTTGACCTAATGTCCATAGCAACACTGAAAATACCCATTGTTTCCCTTATCAACAATGAAAACTTTTCAACTGCACATTTTTTTTTCTCATGTTAGATAGCAAAACAAAGACGTTTGTCTCTCTTCTGTGTGACAGTATGGCCAAATGGCAGCCGCTTCCACAAGTCATCTGCATGGCCCAGGGACGAAGCCAGGGCCCACTGAAAATAACGGCTGCTCCCAGGACACTGTCGCAAGGGCCAGGGATGCACGCCCTCCCCTCCTTCCCCAACGTGAGGATCAGAAATCTTAGAAAGAAAGAGGAGGGTGTGAGGCGTGCAGGGACCCAGTGGGAGGGAGAAAAAGCCTGTGGAGACACTGGGGTGGGAAAGAATTGGGCGGCACAAAGGTTGGGAAACAGAGCACAGGGTGGGGGAGGCCTAGAGATGCCTACGACAGGCAAACCTGGCCTGCACTAGGCCTCGAAGAGTTTTCCCCAGCCCTAAGGTAGCCATCGTTCCACTTAGTAACTGACACAATTAATGGCTTCATCAGAGTGATCAGGGTAGTTTAGGAAAGAAGTCTCAACGGCCATTGCAACATGCAACCATAATTGCAAGGCCCATGACAGTTATATCTTGAGGACCTTTTCTACGCTGGCTGAGGACTTCTGGGCCTCAAAATCTGGAGGAAACCAAGGTAGAAGACCTGAAACTCCACATGTAGGAATTATATAATCAATATACAAAACTACCACCCAGAAACCTTTTTGAGGAAATCCACAACTTCTACAAAAGGAAATATCCAGCAGCTGCTACTGTTAACCATAAATTGGTAGTTAGCCCTCTTCCATTTTCCTTTTCTCTCCACCTACAAGTCAAGTCCTGAGACATGTTTGAGTAAACACATTCAGAACACAATTCAAATAGTCATTTTCTCAACTACAGTTTCAATGGGAAATCACAAATGAATTTCAAGCCTTTTCTAAATTCTTCAACTTTTGCCTCATGTGGATTTCTTCGTGTGCAATAAGGGATGATTTATGAGTGAAGTAACATCCACAGACTGGACAATTGAAAGATTTCTCCCCTGTGTGAGTCCTCTGGTGTATCACCAGGCTGGATTTGTGACTGAAATAATTCCCACAGACAGGACATTCAAAGGGTTTCTCTCCTGTGTGAGCCCTCTGGTGTTTTACCAGGTAACAATTGCGAATGAAACCTTTTCCACAGAGAGCACATTCAAACGGTTTCTCTCCTGGGTGAATCCTCTGGTGTGTCGCAAGGCTGGAATAATCACTGAAACGTTTCCCACAATCAGGACATTCAAAGGGTTTCTCTCCTGTGTGAGTCCTCTGGTGTGCCACCAGGTTACACTTGTGATTGAAACTTTTCCCACAATCAGGACATTCAAAGGGTTTCTCTCCTGTGTGAGTCCTTTGGTGTATCAAGATCATGTAATTCTCACTGAAACGTTTTCCACAATCAGGACATTCAAACCGTTTTTCTCCTGTGTGAGTCCTCTGGTGTTTCAAAAGGTTGGAATTCTCACTGAAACCTTTCCCACAATCAGGACATTCAAAGGGTTTTTCTCCTGTGTGAGTCCTCTGGTGTATCACAAGGCTGGAATTCCGACTGAAATTTCTTCCACAATCAGGACATTGAAAGGGTTTCTCTCCTGTGTGAGTCCTCTGGTGTTTCACAAGGCTGGAATTCTCACTGAAACCTTTCCCACAATCAGGACATTGAAAGGGTTTTTCTCCTGTGTGAGTCCTCTGGTGTGTCACCAGGTGGGAATTGCGACCGAAACTTTTCCCACAGATAGGGCATTCAAAGGGTTTCTCTCCTGTGTGAATCCTCTGGTGTTTCACAAGGCTGGACTTCTGACTGAAACCTTTCCCACAATCAGGACATTCAAAGGGTTTCTCTCCTGTGTGAGTCCTCTGGTGTGTCACAATGCTGGACTTATCCTTGAAACTTTTCCCACAATCAGGACAGTCAAAGGGTTTTTCTCCTGTGTGAGTCCTCTGGTGTGTCACCAGGTGGGAATTCTGACTGAAACCTTTCCCACATTCAGGACATTCAAAGGGTTTTTCTCCTGTGTGAGTCCTCTGGTGTTTCACAAGGCTGGACCTCTGACTGAAACCTTTCCCACAATCAGGACATTCAAAGGGTTTCTCTCCTGTGTGAGTCCTCTGGTGTGTCACAATGCTGGACTTATCCTTGAAACTTTTCCCACATTCAGGACATTCAAAGGGTTTTTCTCCTGTGTGAGTCCTCTGGTGTGCCACCAGGTGGGAATTCTGACTGAAACCTTTCCCACATTCAGGACATTCAAAGGGTTTTTCTCCTGTGTGAGTCCTCTGGTGTCTCATGACATGGAAATTTCTAATGAAACTCACACAATCAATACAGTCATATGTTGTCTCCCTGCTGTGAATCCTCTGATGTATCAGCACGTTGCCATGCTCACTAAAGCATTTACTGCACTAGGAATGCTTTTATGGCTTTTCTCTTGTGTGGGTCTTTCCAGGAACCACAAGGGAGCTGTCCTGACTAAAGTTTGACACAATCAGATGATTTGTACGGCTTTTCTGCTGTGTGGCTCCTTTTGTGCATAATCAGCTGTGATTTACAATCTATGCTTTTCTAACAATAGACACAACTATGGAGCTTTGCCACAGCTGATATTCTTGAGGAAGTCAAAAATATGGACAATCCCTTGTTTAGTGGTATTTTCATTCAATCCGTTTTCTTCCGCACAGGGCGAGGCCTGCATGGCTCTCTGCTCTATGTGACTTTCCTACTCATCTTTTCCTCCAACTGACTTCCAGATATTTCATTCTTTTAATGAATAAAAAATAATCTCCCTTCACTTTTCATGTAAAGTATCCTTGAGTTCTGAATAATTTACTTGTTCCAGCTTGAAATCTTTCTTGATTTTCTCTGTTTTTTTCTATGAGCTGCTGGAGGAAAAGGAGAATTGTGTGGTTTTCTGAAGAAAATGGAAAATATTTTGATTTGTGATTTGGTTTGCTTTCCTTTTCAATGTTGCTGGTTATTCTTGGCTATCCAGAGTGCTGTTCTTCCCATCCTCTTTTCTGTAAGATTTAAGGAAAGGTGTAACTTTAATTTTTATAAAATGGTGAGGTGTGAAAAAAGAAGTATACATTACAATGAAAAAGCAAACATGCCACAATGATAGAATAATCTTTTACATTGTTTATGATTCATCTCTTACATGGAAGACTACCGACATTGATGTTCAAATATCCATTCAATTAAATTCAGTTGTTGATTTGGGTAAAATTTCTTGTTGACTTTGGTCAATCACAAATCCTTAGCAATGCAAAGGGTTATCATCAAATACATCTGGAAGTGATGGGGATAGATTATATAATTCCAGATATATGCATACAGAGAGAAATACAGATACACACTCCTACAAAAGTATATATGGAAAGGAGCTTCCGGTGGCTGCGTCGTGCTGATGGCGGCTTTCTGACAGCCGTCTGTCACAGGAAAGTGTAAAAGCTGGCAAAACAGCGTCGATCAGCTGTTTTGCAGCTTGAAACCGTCCTCACGGGTGAAGGGAGGAAGGTGAGCCTTCTCCCGGACAGAAGTAGAGCCTTACCAATCTCCCAGAGATTTTTTTCTTGGGAGATGAAGAGTGAGAGGTCCTTAGGAGTCTGGGTGTGCTCTGCTTCCCTGGATACCTTTGTTCTCGGGCGGAAGAACGAAGCTAGACACTGCCTCTACTGCTGCTGCTTAAATGGAAACTGTAAGTTAAATTAAAAGCAGATGGAGGACAAGAATTGGATGATTTTATTTTAAACTTAACTCATGTGAGAATTAACATCTTCTCCTGCTATTACTTTAACAAACTGTCGGAGTGAAGAAATATGGTGGAGGAGTCCTGCTTCTTTGTTACTTTCTTTGTCTGAGAACTTTCACTTTCTACTTTCCATTTACTATTTTCAGCTGGCAACAAAGTTTCAACAATGCAATAGACTTGGTTTATTTAAAGAGAACTCTTCTTTTTTAAAGGGGAAATTGCTTTTTCTTCTCCTTTATTCCTATTTTATTATTTTTTAATTTTTTTTCTTTTTTTTCCGTTTTAAAAAATGGCTTTGAAATGTCCAGAACCTTTTTCTCTTCTTAAAACTTCAATTTCTTCTCCAGTAACTCAGACTGTACAACAACCTAAACCTAAACCTTCCCCACCTTCTGCTCCACCTCAGGCAATTACACTTAAGGATTTACAAGATGCTTTGGATAAGACTGTACAAAAAACAGCAGAGCTCCTGGCTCAAAAAAATAATGAGTTGAGGGAAGATATTGTGCTTGCACTGCAGCGGCTTGCTAGTCTTGTAGAAAAGATTGTGGATGAGGTGGTGGTGGGTAATGTTGAAATATTACAAGACAGAGTTGAAAAAATAGAAGATAATGTGGATGTTGCACAGAATGGAATTATAATGTCACAATATAGAGAAATGGAATATGCTTTGAGAATAAGAGGCTTGAAGGAAAATGTTCAGGAGAATTTGAAAGAAGAAATTGCAGCAGAACTGGCTTCTATTTTGGAATGTGATCCTGAAGGAATGTTGAGAGATATAGAAAAGATCTTCAGAGTCAATTCATGGGTTGCAAAACAGAGAAAATTACCAAGAGATGTGGTTATTTATTTTGCTAGAAGATCACTTCGTAATGAAATTATACAGGCTTTCTATAAGCAAAGATTTCAGATTGCAGCTCAGGATGTGATAGTTTTAAAGGAAATACCTTCAAAAATTCTTAGAAAAAGAAAAGACTTTGCTTTTTTGGCTGAAGAACTTAAGAAACGACAAATTCAATTTAGATGGGATATACCTGTGGGGATAGTGGTGACCTATGTTGGCACACAATATCGTCTTAATACAATTTCAAAAGCAAGAGATTTCTATGTTACTGTTTTAAAAGGAGATCTACCACCATCTCCAAGATCAAAAAAGGATGAGAGCAAGGCAGAAGCACAGTTGGCTATAGGTTCAATACCACTTTTGGGAGAAGAATTATTGGTTGAATCTATGCAACAGAGTTTGCAAATAACGGAAGACCCAAGGGAACAGAGTATTACACGTGCTGCTCATAAACGTAGAGAAAGAGGAGAACAACAACAACAAAAGGTAGATGATGGAGTTTCATCACAGTCTACTTCAGAGCCAGTGGGAGGAGCAAGGCCAAAGAGGTCATCGACTGCAAATTTAGAGGTTTTGTTCCAAAGGCTTCAACCTGCCAAGAATGGCAAAGCTTCTAACCTGGAATGTTAATGGTCTTAATTCACCACAGAAAAGAAAGTCTTTCATTATTTGAAACAACACAGAAATGATATTATTTGTTTACAAGAGACTCATATTATTTCGAAAGATTAAAAATATTTGTTTAACCCCCGGCTGGGGGTACACTTCATAGCTCCTGCTTTGCAGAAAAAAGGAGGTGTAGTTATTTATGTGAGAAAGGAGCTTTCACCGAAACTAATTGATTTTGATTCACAAGGTAGATATGTCATCATTGATTTATTAATAAATGATAGAGAACTCTTCTTGTTGGATTATATGCTCCCAATCAACAACAAAAATATTTCTAAAAGATGATTCACCAGAAATTAATTTCTTTGGATTACAAGTCAGTTATTATGATGGGAGATTGGAATGGTGTTTTAGATTCAAGCAAAGATAAGAAGAATTCTTCTAAAGTTTCTAATCATGCAAGACTTCCTAAAGCTTTTTTTGATTTAAAGGATGATTTGGAACTTAGAGACATTTGGAGAGAACGGAACATTGAGGAAAAAGATTTTACCTTTTTTTCAGATAGGCACCAATCTTATTCTAGAATTGACTTTTTTTTAGTTATTAATGATTTCTTTTCTAGGGTGAAGAATACCAAGATATTTCCTAGAATAATTTCAGATCATAGTCCTGTATGGTTGGAAATGTCGCTGGAAGAAGGGACTAGAAGGTCTTGGAGGTTGAACGAGAATTTATTTAGATATGAAGAGAATATACAGAGATGTAGAGGTTATTTAAAGGATTTTTTTGCTTGGAACATGAATAAGGGTACCTCGATGCCAATGGTATGGGATTCTAGTAAAACATATATGAGAGGGATTTTGATTTCTATGAATAATACTCATAGATGTAAACAGACTCAGAAACGTAAAGAGTTGGAAGATGAGATTAAATGTAAGGAAAAGATTTTAATATCAAACCCAATGGATAATAACTTAAAGGTTTCTATAACTCTGCTTAAGGAGCAATTTAATATGTTAATAGCGGATCAGATGGCAACTAATTTGAGGTATATGGAACACAATACATTTTGTAATGCAAATAAAACTGGTAGATGGTTGGCTTATCAATTACCTAAGAAACAGAAATCAAGGACTATAGATAAAATAATTTATAAGGGTAAAGAAGTGTTTCAACAAAATTTGATTAAAAAGACTTTTTTAGATTTTTATTCAAAGTTATATGCTAGTGAAACTATACAAACTTCAGACATAGAAAAATATTTACAGGAAGCACATTTTCCTAGACTTACGATTGACCAACATGATGGGATTAATGGTTTAATTACTTCTGAAGAGATTATTTCTGCAATTAAACAATTGAAGATTGGCAAGACTCCAGGTACTGATGGACTAACAGCAATTTATTATAAGATGCTATCTGAAGAAATGATAGAACCATTAAAGGAACTTTTCAATGATATTTTGTTGGGAGCAGAGCTACCTCCATCTTGGAGAAGGGCTTTTATATCATTGATTCCAAAGGAAGACCAGGATCTGTCCCAACCTAGAAATTATAGGCCTATATCTCTTTTAAATACAGATTATAAGATTTTTGCAAAGATACTGGCAAATAGATTAATGCAGGTTTTGAAACAATTGATTCATACTGATCAATCTGGATTTATAATGGGAAGGTATATGAAATATAATGTAAGACAAATTGTTAACTTATTAGAGTATTTGGATAAGAACAACCAAATCCCTGCTGCTTTAATATTTATAGATGCTGAGAAAGCTTTTGATCAATTAGATTGGAAATTTTTATTGAAAGTCGTAGAGTAAATGAACTTTGGAGTCAAATTTTTGTGTGCTCTCAAGGCCATATATCAGCAACAATCGGCACAAATTATAATTAATGGGGGATTAACAGATGTATTTAAAATAGAAAAAGGTACGAGACAGGGTTGTCCCTTATCCCCCTTGTTATTTGTATTAACAATGAAGATTTTACTTATTAAAATTCGAGATTCATCTAGATTAAAAGGAATAAAAATAAGTAAGATTGATTATAGGCTGAGAGCTTTTGCTGATGATTTGGTTGTGACGTTATCCCACCCAACAGATTTGGTCAGAGACTTGGTTGAAATTTTAGCGCAGTATGGACAGGTCTCTGGTTTTAAGGTGAACAAGAACAAAACTAAAATATTATTGAAAAATATGTCTATGAAGGGAAAAGATATTATAGCTGAAGCAACAGGTTGTGAAGTAGTTAATAAGGTTAAGTATTTAGGAGTATATATCACAACATCTAATGGAAAATTGTATAAGAATAATTATGAACACTTATGGGTAAAAGTACAAAAAGATTTAAATGATTGGCAAAAATTACAACTATCATTGCTGGGGAGAATCTCAGTAGTAAAGATGAATGTTCTACCAAAGTTTCTTTTTTTGTTTCAGATGATACCTATCTTAAAAAAGGATGCTAATTTGGATGAGTGGCAGAAGGGTATCAATAAATTTATCTGGGGTGGGAAGAAATCAAGGGTAAAGTTTAAGATTTTGCAAGACACTCGAGAAAAAGGTGGACTTAAAGCACCTAATTTGAAATTATATTATGATGGGTTGGAGGTTAAATAGGTCAGATAAGTAGAAATAGGGTTCTTTTGTATATAATATTGATATTTTAATTTGGAGAGAGGAATTGCTCGGGCATTTCCCCTGGACTGCATCCAGAGTGAGAAGATAGGAGGAAGGGGAGAAGTAAGTAGGAAGGTTGAGGAGAAGGAGGAGAGGGGAAGAGTGAGGAAGAAGAGGGAAAGAGGGAAGTGAGAGAAGAGGTTAGAGGGTGGATGCGGTTTGGGGGGAAATGGGTGAGCAATACCGAAAGTTGTGTGTATAAATTTACGTTATTCTTTATCTGAAGTACTCATTATGAATGTAATGAAAAATTGAAAATAAAAAAATCTTTTACCAAAAAAAAAAAGTATATATGGAAAAAATCTATGTCTTTGAAGCCTGGAAAAATGTCCCAAAATAGTTTACAGTCAAAGCTTCTGAGCTAATTTTAGAGATGTGGTGGCTTTAACTGATGGATAACAGAATAATAGAGTTGGAAGGGACCTTGAAGGAAGAACGAAGAATGTTAATGGTGGAAATGACAATGAATAAAAAAAAAAGATGTTGCTAGTAGCAATACATGCACCAAACAATAAACAAGAAATATTTTATCAAAAACTACACAGAAAAATATTGCAAATGGAATATCAAAATATTTGTTTAGTAGGAGGTTTTAACGCAATTGTGAATGAAAAATTAGATTTCAAAAGTAGTAAAATGGGGGGAAAAGGAAGAAAGAGATTATGTAACGTGTTTGTTAAAATGACAGAAGAAATCTGCGTATAGAATGTCTGGAGAGAAATAAACCCCAAAAAGACTTGCTATACATTTTATTCAAATAGACACAAATCATGGTCTAGAATTGATATGATATGGAGGTCCCCTAAATTAAGAACTAATATACATGAGATTGAGATAGAACCCAATATTTGGGCTGACCATAATCCAATAAAGCCGAGTTGGACAAGAGTAAAGAAGAAATCAAGGTGGACATTGAATCAACTCTTATTAAAGGAGAAAGAATTTCAGAAATAGCAGTAAAGGAAATGGAATTCTTTTTCAAAGAAAATAAAAAAGAAGACACTTCTCTCCAGTACATATGAGATACAGCCAAAGCACACTTCAGAGGATTAGCTATAATTTATACGGCTGAAAAGAATAAAGAGAAAAAGCAACAGTGTACAACGCAAAGGGAAATGTTTAAAAAAATTGAAGCTAGAACTTCAAAAAGATCCACAAAAAAACTCTTAAAAGACAAATGGAGATAATTAAACATAAACTAATCCTAATAAAAATCAGAAGAGTTGGCTCAACAAATCAGAAGAGGAAAACAATTTTTTTCGAAAATGCAAATAAACTGGGAAGATAGCTGGTTTATAAATTGGAAAAAGAAAGAGAGAAAAAGTTGATAAACAAATTACAACATAAGAAGGGAGATGTGCAAATCCAAAATGAGGCAATAAAAATAGTTAAAGAATATTATGAAAAACTATATGACGTAGAAAAAAAATCTCTGGAAAAAAACAACATAAAATATGGAAAAAGCCAATGTACCAAAAATTCCAGAAAACATTAAAAACATGCTAAACGAAAAAATAATGATGGAACTGATGGAAGCTATAAAAAGACAAAAAAAAAACAACAACATTGGAGACAACCCCTAAACTAGGGGTGTCAAACTGCCAGCCTGCAGGCCGGACGCGTCACCCAAAAGCTGTACCCGCCCCATTGCCGGCAATAGCAAAACAATCCCGATACATCGCGCAACGTAACGTAACGTCGCGAGTTTGATATGTCTGTCCTAAACTATTGAAAAGGATTTAGTTATTTGGAGAAGTAGCAGGATTGAAGATAAATAGAGAAAAAACAAACGTTATAGTTAAAAACCTTACATCTAAGCAAAAAGTGCAATTGTCAAAAAAATTGGATTTTAAAATAGTTAGGAAAGTTATATATTTGGGGATATACTTAACAGCAAGATGTGCAATGATAAAAGATAACTACATAACATTACTTAATCAAATAAAATTAGATCTAGAAAAATGGAAAAACTTACAACTATCAGCGTTAGGAAGAATAGCTACTGTGAGAATGAAGAGTTTACCAAAACTGCTTTTCTTGTTCCAAACAGCATCTATAAAAATAGAGAAGAATTTTTTTGATGATTTAAATACTTTGATTTTGAAATTTATTTGGCAAGAAAGGAAAGCCAGAATTAAACTGAAAATGCTACAAGAATCCAAGAACATAATCTGCAACGTGGATGGCATGCATTTCTATGGTATGAGAATAAGATTCATAGATAGTTTCAAAATCATTATATAAGAAATAAACTACTTCTTGTGTACAAAAAGATAAATGTTAAAATCTACTTAAGAATCACAGGATTGCTTTCAACGTTTGTTCACCCAAATCAAGTAAAATATGAAAAAAATGGACGTATAAAGATATTTTGGATACCGAAGGGAAATTAAAATCTAAACCAGAGGCTGTACACCAGGGTACTGAATTATCATGGTGGCCTCAGTTACAAATGCAATCAAGTATGAAAAAGATGCGAAAATATATGGTTTTTATAAAAAACAATGTTTGATCAGATGCTGTTGACCTCTGATAAAAAACTGTGTAAGAAACTATAAAACTTTCTATTAAATTCAAAAATGGAGGATGAACAAGTGAAAGAAACAATGATACGATGGGCAGAAAACTTTGGATATAATATAGAATTAGAGAAATGGCAAAAACTTTGGGAAAGAAATTATAAATTGATCATGGCAACTTTTTATAAAGAAAACTGATATAAAATGTTCTATAGATGGCATTTACCACATGCTAGATTAGCAAAAATGTTTAAAAATATGTCCAGTAAATGTTGGAAATGTAATCAAACACGTGGCTTGCATTTTCATATGTGGTGGCCTTGTGTTGAAGAAAAACAAAACGGGCCAAAAGACACTTGGTTAGAAAAGATGATAGGGAAACATGTAGATTTTAAACCTGCACTCTTTTTATTAGGTATAATATAAGAAAAATTTAATAAGCCAAGTGTATATTTAACATTGCATGTATTAACAGCAGCAGGGATTGTATTTGCTCAGCTCTGGGAGAATAAAGAAACCCCACTAGACAAAGAGATAATCAAGAAGATCTTGGACTGTGCTGGAATGGACAGACTTACATTGAGGATCAAAGAGAAAGAAGATACAGAATATTTTCAAACATGGAATTTATTTAATCAATGGGTGGAGAAAAGGGGTAGACACTAAGAATGTAACTTGTATTATTAAGCAAACAAATTGGACCAGACAACATGATGTTTCTTAAGCACTAGTCAAATGTGATAATAGAAAATTAATTTTCAAAAGTTGTAAAAAAAAATAATAATAAGAGAGTTGGAAGGGACCTTGGAGGTCTTCTAGTCCAACCCCCTGCTCAGGCAGAGGACCCTATTACTATTCCTGAAAATGGCTGTCCGGTCTCCTATTAAAAACCTCCAGTGACGGAGCACCCACAACCTCTGGAGGGAAGCCATTTCCAAAGAATCAACCTTCCCTTGAAGGAGACTTTTTAAATCTTCCCATCAGCATAAAATCGCAGCCCCCAGTTTAACAGCCTGCAGCACCAGTGGACTTAAAAGTTGGGGAGGGAAGGAAAATGCAGCGGCGGCAGCTGAGATGCTTCAGCCTAGTTGCTTCTCTGCTTGGACTCAGTGGAGGAAACCAAACAGCCCCGCTTGCTCCCGGCTTCTCCTCCGACCTTCCCTCCACTCACCTCCCACCTTCTGCTTCTACCCTTGAAAGAGCAGAAAAGCCCCTTTGCACACCAACCTCCTCCCATGAATGATCCGGAAGAGGAAGTTCTGATGTTCAAAAGGTCCTTTTTCAAGAGGCAACTGAGCTTTCTTTCTTCTACTCTTCCCGTCTCCTCCTCTCCTTTCTAGCAATGTAGTACTCGATGGTTTTAATTCCTGAGTCTAAAGTCAACCAAAGATTCCGCCTTCTGTATTGTCCGCTTTCTAGGCACAGATGTTGCCTGTTTGACTCCGGATAGGTGGCGAAAAACACGGTTGTCTGGCGTTTGCACGATTTCCTCCTTGATTAAAAGCTAACAGGTAATTTTTGACTCCTAGCAACTAACCTTTGCAACTGAGCCAAGTGAAATAGTGAAATGTGATGCTGGTTAGCTTATGAAGATTAGCTACGTGCTGAGTCCTAAAAGTTCATGACGGTTTTATAGAATTACAGTTTTTTTTATGGGTGACTCTCAGTGGCGATCAAAACCTCTCTACACCCGAAATCTTTATGACTTATTTAATGTGGCTCCCAAGGTTTTAGGACATAGCAGCAACATCAGGCCAGATGTACCAGGGGAGCCAACCTCCCTCTTGCTGGCCAGGGCTGCATCCAAGGGCATCCAGCATGCCAGCTTCGTTCCTGAAGGAGGAGAATGTAGATATGCTAAATGCTAAATGCCATGTACTTCTGTAAATTTGCTTGAGAGGAAGTCTCCATTAGGTCACAGAGAGGAAAAAAAATGCAGCAGGGCCTGAAAATAGGGCGCTAAGAAAGGGGGGAAAATTGTGAACATACGGTAGAGGAAATATTTAAAAAATACATTTTTAAAAAGAAAACAAAAGGGAAGAATAGAATATTCCACCAAAGCACATGGCCAACTGATGACCAGGCTAACCTTTTTAGAGGGACACCCTGCACTGCCGTTTTTTAATGTACATCTCGTAGGTTTTGGATGGGGATAGTGGCCATTTCGGCTATTGCATCTGAGCTCTGTTGCATGGAGGAATCTGGAATAAAAGAACTGCAAGGTATATTTTATTGATTCCCTTTTTATTCAGTAACTCAAGATGGCATACAAAGCACTGCCTGTGTAGCGTGCTGTAATTTACAAGGTAGGCCAGACAACCTACCTACCTACCTACAATGTGATCCACTAGAAAAAAATTGTAACCAGTCCTCTGAATTGTGTTAGTGAAATGAACAAATGTACAATTCTTTGGTTTCTTCTAAATTCAGGATCATTCATCTGCAGACTTTAAATATCATTTCATTGCTCCAAATATTGTTTCTCTCTTTTCTTGTAGACATTCCTTGGAAAACCTTAAAGAAAATTTGACTTTTAGAATAGAATAGAGCTGGAAGGGACCTTGGAGGTCTTCTAGTCCATCCCCCTGCTCAAGTAGGAGAACCTATACCATTTCAGACAAGTGACTGTCTAATCCAGGGGTCGGCAATCTAAAACGGTGAAAGAGCCACTTGGACCCGTTTCCCTCACAAAAAAAAACAAAAGACAAAAAACTGGGAGCCGCAAAATGTGCACATATGCGTGCGCATGCGCACACACGTAACGGGGTCCGGAGGGTTCCCTCCTGCTTTCTGTCCTGCCCGCCCAGGTAGAGAGCCTGCGCCTCCTCTTCTCCTGCGGCCGGGGAAGGAGGGCCGGCCCTGGGCCTGTCCTGGAGGACTTTTTAGGCCCCGGATGCCCCCCCCACCCTCTCCTCCGTCTGCTGGCACTGCAGCTCTGCAGCAAGAGGGAACCCTCAGGACCTTTGGTTTTCCTGGTTTGCCAACAAGGCTTGCAAACTCAGCTCCTGCCAGGGAAGCAGCACCTTTTGGGACGGACTCTGAGCAATTGCATGCTTCAGGGAAGGAGCACAGAGGCCTGCAAGCAAACAGGCAGGCAGGCAGATGCTGGGCAGCATGAATCAAGCGGCGAGCAAAACCCCGAAACCTTTTGCGTTTGTTTGCAAAGAAGCAGTGAAAGCCGGTCCAGCTGGTCGTCGGGGTGCAGAACCGGGCCACGGGGGCCAAGCCTTACTCACCGGAAATGCTGAAGCTTCCCACACCAACCGGTAGGTCTTCCGTGCTGCTCTGCTCGGACCGCCGGCTTCTTGCTACAGGGCTGTCTCCCTCCAGAGCTGTCTTCCCCCCCTCCCATCTATGTCGAGCCCATGGCGAAGAGCGTCCCACAAACCAAAGAAGTTGAACCAATCAATTCAAACTTTTCTCGTGAGAAGTTTGAATAGATTGGTTCAACTTTTTTAATCCTTTTTTTTGGCACTGCACGTGGCTGGGAGCCGCAGGAGACGGCTGAAAGAGCCGCATGCAGCTCTGGAGCCGCGGGTTGCCGACCCGTGGTCTAGTCTCTTAAAAATCTCCAGTGATGGAGTGCGCATGATTTCTGGAGGCAAGCTGTTCTACTGGCTGATTGCCCTGGGGGAGGGGGAGGGAAATGACTGGGAGACCCTGTGGAGGAGGGAAGGGCCAAGGAGACACAAAGGATGGGAAACAGAGCACAGAGTGTCTTGGAGGGTTGGGGAGGCCTAGGATGCCTCAGGTAGGCAAGCCTGGGCCTGGGCTAGGCCTCCAAGAGTTTTCCCCAACCCTGAGATAGCCACTATTCCCCTTAGTGACTCACACATTCGATTAATGGCTGCATCAGGGACATCAGGCTAGTTAAGGATTGCATTAGCTGGTTTGTTTTTTTGGCAGCTGAAGCAGTCCTGTCTTATACTTGTCCATTGGACATCTAGATTCCTTTGTTGACCCAGGTATTACCTATTTTATCCCTGTGCATTTGTTTTTTGCTGCCTAAGTGCAGACATTACTTTCCTCATCATTGAACAATACTTTGTTGGATAGATCCCAATGCTCTGTCAGAATCCCTTTGGATCTTGAGCCTATCTATTTATAAGAGGTCGAACTGTAGTGGGCCCAAGACCAAACCTTGAGGTACCCGATTGCATGCTTCTGTCCATGTAGATGTAATTCCATTGATGAAAACCCCGAGTGTGGTTGGTCAGTCAATTGCGAATCCACCTAGGGCTGGTTCTGTCTATCCCATGTTGTTCTATCTTACCAAAAAGTTAACTTGTGCTCTACCTTGTCAAATGTCTTGCTGACGTCCAAGTATACTATCTCCAAAACATTTCACAAATCCACTAATTAAGTTACTTCATAAAAAATGACAATAATGTTTGTCTGGCATCACATTCTTAACAAACCCATTCTGGCTTGTTATAGCTGCCCATCATTTCTGTTTCTCCAGAAGCATTAGTGGAAACAGAAGTTTACTTTAATTAAATAACTTGTGAAATTCTCAGCCTTTTAAAAGAAGAAATAAAATCAGGGGGGGACAGGACTAAGCTGGGGGAAAAGGGTATTTCCAAAGGCTTTTATAGGAAAATAGTTGGGGAACAGAAAAGGTAAGGTAAGGTCTCACTCAACTCCTCCAGTTGCTTTCATTGTGTTTGGTAATGCTTTGGGCTTTCGGCTGGTGTGACTTGATGAGCACTTTTTTCTTCCTTGGTCCTGAGGAGCTGCCTTGGATGAAACAGAGAGGCTGCGGCCCCTCCACGATTTACCGTAGTTCCTCCCCAATGGAGGTCACCCCTCCAGAGCGACTTTCAACCATTTACAGGGTCTTCTGAAGAAAGAAAACCGGACGGCGGGGAGAACAGTCTCTCTGCACACCCACTAACGCCGGGATCCGGAACAGGAAGCCAATTCTTTGATTTTCAAAGGCTACAAATCGACTGGCAAAACAAATGGCTGTATTAGAGGGAAACCATAGCTTAATTGTCCGGTTTGAAATGTCCTAATTTCCCTCTGTCAGACTGGCTGTGATGGAGAAGACAATCGCTGAATCTGAGAAGGATGCCAATCAAAATATATCCAGTTAGCCATTCTAATTTTTAAACTGTGCCTAATGAATTGCTGTATTTTCACAGAATTTAGGACTAGGGCAGATAGCAATACAACAATAAATTAAGAAGCAGAAGCCTAACTACAGCTCACGTCATCACAGGCAGAGAGTGGCGGGACTGATGTGTGATTGAAACTGAAATTTTAAATTTATAAATGAGGGAAGGGAAGCTGAGTAAAACAGATTACTTAGAGATGCAGATTGCACAAGATACAGATTACAAGGTAACAATCGTATGTATTAGAAACCCACTCTATCACTGAGCAAGAGTTGGGTAATGAGCTTTACATTATCTTTTTATTATTAAATGCATTCATTATTAAACTTAATCACTGCCCATCTCGCCGTCTGAGGCAGCTCTGAGTGACTTCCCTTGACCTAATGTCCATAGCAACACTGAAAATACCCATTGTTTCCCTTATCAACAATGAAAACTTTTCAACTGCACATTTTTTTTTCTCATGTTAGATAGCAAAACAGAGAGGTTTGTCTCTCTTCTGAGTGACAGTATGGCCAATTGGCAGCTGCTTCCACAAGTCCACCGCATGGCCCAGGGACGAAGCCAGGCCCACTGAAAGTAACGGCTGCTTCCAGGACACAATCCCAAGGGCCAGGGATGCACACCCTCCCCTCCATCCCCAACATGAGGATAAGAAATTTTAGAACGAGAGAGGAGGGTGTGAGGCATGCAGGGACCCAGTGGGAGGGAGAAAAAGCCTGTGGAGACCCTGGGGTGGGAAAGAACTGGGAGGCACAAGGGTTGGGAAATAGAGCACAGGGTGAGGAGGCCTAGAGATGCCTACAACAGTCAAACCTGGGCCTGTACTAGGCCTCCAAGAGTTTTCCCCAACCCTGAGGTAGCCAGTGTTCCAGTTAGTGACTGACACAATTAATGGCTGCATCAGAGAGATCAGGGTAGTTTAGGAAAGAAGTCTCACTTAATGGCCGTTGCAACAGGTAACCATAACTGCAAGGCCCATGACAGTTATAACTTGAGGACCTTTTCTACACTGGCTGAGGAATTCTGGGCTTCAAACTCTGCAGGAAACCAAGGTGGAAGACCTGAAACTCCACATGTAGGAATTATATAATCAATATACAAAACTACCACCCAGAAACCTTTTTGAGGAAATCCACAACTTCTACAAAAGGAAATATCCAGTAGCTGCTACTGTTAACCATAAATTGGTAGTTAGCCCTCTTCCATTTTCCTTTTCTCTCCACCTACAAGTCTAGTCCTGAGACATGTTTGAGTAAACACATTCAGAACACAATTCAAATAGTCATTTTCTCAACTACAGTTTCAATGGGAGATCACAAATGAATTTCAAGCCTTTTCTAAATTCTTCAACTTTTGCCTCATGTGGATTTCCTCGTGTGCAATAAGGGATGATTTATGAGTGAAGTAACATCCACAGACTGGACATTTGAAAGATTTCTCCCCTGTGTGAGTCCTCTGATGTATCACCAGGCTGGATTTGTGACTGAACCTATTCCCACAGACAGGACATTCAAAGGGTTTCTCTCCTGTGTGAGCCCTCTGGTGTTTCACCAGGTAACAATTGCGAATGAAACTTTTCCCACAGAGAGCACATTCAAAGGGTCTCTCTCCTGTGTGAATCCTCTGGTGTGTCACAAGGGTGGAATAATCACTGACACATTTCCCACAATCAGGACATTCAAAGGGTTTCTCTCCTGTGTGAGTCCTCTGGTGTGCCACCAGGTTACACTTGTGATTGAAACTTTTCCCACAATCAGAACATTCAAAGGGTTTCTCTCCTATGTGAGTCCTTTGGTGTATCAAAATCATGTAATTCTCACTGAAACGTTTTCCACAATCAGGACATTCAAACCGTTTTTCTCCTGTGTGAGTCCTCTGGTGTTTCAAAAGGTTGGAATTCTGATTGAAACTTTTCCCACAATCAGGACATTCAAATGGTTTCTCTCCTGTGTGAGTCCTCTGGTGTATCACAAGGCTGGAATTCCGACTGAAATTTCTTCCACAATAAGGACATTGAAAGGGTTTCTCTCCTGTGTGAGTCCTCTGGTGTTTCACAAGGCTGGAATTCTCACTGAAACCTTTCCCACAATCAGGACATTCAAAGGGTTTCTCTCCTGTGTGAGTCCTCTGGTGTTTCACAAGGCTGGAATTCACACTGAAACTTTTCCCACAATCAGGACATTCAAAGGGTTTCTCTCCTGTGTGAGTCCTCTGGTGTCTCACAAGGCTGGAACTGCCACTAAAACCTTTCCCACAATCAGGACATTCAAAGGGTTTTTCTCCTGTGTGAGTCCTCTGGTGTGTCACCAGGTGGGAATTCTGACTGAAACTTTTCCCACAATCAGGACAGTCAAAGGGTTTTTCTCCTGTGTGAGTCCTCTGGTGTGTCACCAGGTGGGAATTCTGACTGAAACTTTTCCCACAATCAGGACAGTCAAAGGGTTTTTCTCCTGTGTGAGTCCTCTGGTGTGTCACCAGGTGGGAATTCTGACTGAAACCTTTCCCACATTCAGGACATTCAAAGGGTTTTTCTCCTGTGTGAGTGCTCTGGTGTCTCATGACATGGAAATTTCTAATGAAACTCACACAATCAATACAGTCATATGTTGTCTCCCTGCTGTGAATCCTCTGATGTATCAGCACGTTGCCATGCTCAATAAAGCATTTACTGCACTAGGAATGCTTTTATGGCTTTTCTCTTGTGTGGGTCCTTCCAGGAACCAAAAGGGAGCTGTCCTGACTAAAGTTTGACACAATCAGATGATTTGTACAGCTTTTCTGCTGTGTGGCTCCTCTTGTGCGTAATCAGCTGTGATTTACAATCTATGCTTTTCTAACAATAGACACAACTATGGAGCTTTTCCACAGCTGATATTCTTGAGGAAGTCAAAAATATGGACAATCCCTTGTTTAGTGGTATTTTCATTCAATCCGTTTTCTTCCGCACAGGGCGAGGCCTGCATGGCTCTCTGCTCTATGTGACTTTCCTGCTCATCTTTTCCTCCAACTGACTTCCAGATATTTCACTCTTTTAATGAATAAAAAATAATCTCCCTTCACTTTTCATGTAAAGTATCCTTGAGTTCTGAATAATCTACTTGTTCCAGCTTGAAATCTTTCTTGATTTTCTGTTTTTTTCTATGAGCTGCTGGAGGAAAAGGAGAATTGTGTGGTTTTCTGAAGAAAATGGAAAATATTTTGATTTGTGACTTGGTTTGCTTTCCTTTTCAATGTTGCTGGTTATTCTTGGCTATCCAGAGTGCTGTTCTTCCCATCCTCTTTTCTGTAAGATTTAAGGAAAAGTGTAACTTTAATTTTTATAAAATGGTGAGGTGTGAAAAAAGAAGTATACATTACAATGAAAAAGCAAACATGCCACAATGATAGAATAATCTTTTACATTGTTTATGATTCATCTCTTACATGGAAGACTACCGACATTGATGTTCAAATATCCATTCAATTAAATTCAGTTGTTGATTTGGGTAAAATTTCTTGTTGACTTTGGTCAATCACAAATCCTTAGCAATGCAAAGGGTTATCATCAAATACATCTGGAAGTGATGGGGATAGATTATATAATTCCAGATATATGCATACAGAGAGAAATATAGATACACACTCCTACAAAAGTATATATGGAAAGGAGCTTCCGGTGGCTGCGTCGTGCTGATGGTGGCTTTCTGACAGCCGTCTGTCACAGGAAAGTGTAAAAGCTGGCAAAACAGCGTCGATCAGCTGTTTTGCAGCTTGAAACCTTCCTCACGGGTGAAGGGAGGAAGGTGAGCCTTCTCCCGGACAGAAGTAGAGCTTTACCAATCTCCCAGAGATTTTTTTCTTGGGAGATGGAGAGTGAGAGGTCCTTAGGAGTCTGGGTGTGCTCCGCTTCCCTGGATACCTTTGTTCTCGGGCGGAAGAACGAAGCTAGACACTGCCTCTACTGCTGCTGCTTAAATGGAAACTGTAAGTTAAATTAAAAGCAGATGGAGCGGTCAGGAGGACAACAATTGGATGATTTTATTTTAAACTTAACTCATGTGAGAATTAACATCTTCTCCTGCTATTACTTTAACAAACTGTCGGAGTGAAGAAATATGGTGGAAGAGTCCTGCTTCTTTGTTACTTTCTTTGTCTGAGAACTTTCACTTTCTACTTTCCATTTACTATTTTCAGCTGGCAACAAGTTTCAACAATGCAATAGACTTGGTTTATTTAAAGAGAACTCTTCTTTTTTAAAGGGGAAATTGCTTTTTCTTCTCCTTTATTCCTATTTTATTTTTTAATTTTTTTTCTTTTTTTTTCCGTTTTAAAAAATGGCTTTGAAATGTCCAGAACCTTTTTCTCTTCTTAAAACTTCAATTTCTTCTCCAGTAACTCAGACTGTACAACAACCTAAACCTAAACCTTCCCCACCTTCTGCTCCACCTCAGGCAATTACACTTAAGGATTTACAAGATGCTTTGGATAAGACTGTACAAAAAACAGCAGAGCTCCTGGCTCAAAAAAATAATGAGTTGAGGGAAGATATTGTGTTGGCACTCCAGCGGCTTGCTAGTCTTGTAGAAAAGATTGACGACCGTGTGGATGAGGTGGTGGTGGGTAATGTTGAAATATTACAAGACAGAGTTGAAAAAATAGAAGATAATGTGGATGTTGCACAGAATGAAATTATAATGTCACAATATAGAGAAATGGAATATGCTTTGAGAATAAGAGGCTTGAAGGAAAATGTTCAGGAGAATTTGAAAGAAGAAATTGCAGCAGAACTGGCTTCTATTTTGGAATGTGATCCTGAAGGAATGTTGAGAGATATAGAAAAGATCTTCAGAGTCAATTCATGGGTTGCAAAACAGAGAAAATTACCAAGAGATGTGGTTGTTTATTTTGCTAGAAGATCACTTCGTAATGAAATTATACAGGCTTTCTATAAGCAAAGATTTCAGATTGCAGCTCAGGATGTGGTAGTTTTAAAGGAAATACCTTCAAAAATTCTTAGAAAAAGAAAAGACTTTGCTTTTTTGGCTGAAGAACTTAAGAAACGACAAATTCAATTTAGATGGGATATACCTGTGGGGATAGTGGTGACCTATGTTGGCACACAATATCGTCTTAATACAATTTCAAAAGCAAGAGATTTCTATGTTACTGTTTTAAAAGGAGATCTACCACCATCTCCAAGATCAAAAAAGGATGAGAGCAAGGCAGAAGCACAGTTGGCTGTAGGTTCAATACCACTTTTGGGAGAAGAATTATTGGTTGAATCTATGCAACAGAGTTTGCAAATAACGGAAGACCCAAGGGAACAGAGAATTACACGTGCTGCTCATAAACGTAGA